CAAGTTAGGGTGACCAGCATAGGGAAGAAGTGTCTGGGTTCCCTGCTGTATGAGTAATATGCTTATACAACGTACACCTTTACAAAAACATCATTTTCACAGAAAAAAATAACTAGATGATTCAAAAATTAGAACTTCAAAGGAGTTTCAACCACATTATATATAACTGAAAGATGTAAAAAAATTGGAGGCACAGAAAGAAACAACAATTTTTACAGAAGTGTAGGATTTATTCTTGATAAGGAAAGATGAAAGAAAATGGTGTGTTTAGGCCAGAGAAGAGATTGCAAAGAAAGAATTTAATGAATCGTCAAGTATATGAAGGGACAATATATGATCAGTAGTAATTAGCTTTTATCTATTGCTTATGAGAACATAAAAAAAGAAAAGAAATTTAAATTGCGACAAGAGAACTGTTGAGAAAATAGTTCTGGGATCTATTACCACAAAGGGCTAGAAATAAAGTTCTGTCTATGGAGATACAAAATAAATAAAAATACAAATAAATAAATACAAAGGCAAAGCTATCAGAGACAGAGGAGAAGGTGCAATTCTACTTAACTCCAGGGTAATATAGTAATTATTATATAAAATATAAAAATTATCACTTATTAGGCAATAACTCTGTATTAGGCCCTCTCCTAGTACTTTATGCCATCACAAGGAAATGCTACAGTCATTTCACTGGTGGTAGACATTATAATCTACATTTTTACAGCTGAGAAAACTAAGGTTCTGAGTGGTTAAGTAGCTTGTCCAAGATAACAGTACTAGTGGCTGGTAGCCTTGCAATGTCAAATCTATTACCTTCTGGCTTCAGCGCCTATGTCCTTTGCACTATATCGTATTGCCTTTTGGTTGCAGTAATATGTCTTTTTGTGATTTCCTTTCCTTTCTTTCATTAATTGTTCTTCAATTTAGATTTAACATATCCTTTTCCCCAAACAAAATAATCTCAGCCTAACAGCTGGATTATAGTGACCAGCTGGTTACATTAGCAACCACATGTTCACCTCTGCTCAGAATGGACTTTCTTCCTTTTGGGCAGACTCAAAGTAAGTTGGGGTAAAGATGAGAAAGGAGGTGAGAAAGAAAATATCCATCTTTCCTGACTGAAACCTAACAGCTGCACTGTGGTACACATATATATACACATACACTGTTAGAAGCACATATGGAAAGATCTGGGGCCCTATTGAAGCATAAATCAAATTAGGCTGTAACTAAATGCGTATCGACCTACAAGAGCTGGTACAAATAGCATATTAAAAGTGATAAGCATATATTGGTAGTAAGAATAAGGTCAGTCCTTCCAAAAAGCAATATTAATTATAATGTCCTAGAGTGGGATAGGGGAGAAAAAACAACTTGGAGATTAGGAATGATACCAAGTAATTTCCTATCCATCATGAATCAATGTATAGTCAGTACCATCCACCACAGTCAATCAGTAATTCAGGGGAAAAAACACAACCACCATATCCTATTTTAGTAGCAATTAATTCAAAGCATGACTAACTTTCTAGTAATCTTTCCAATCTAGTGTGCATTCATTTGAAGAGCACCCACTCTGTGCCTAGCGCAGTGGGGAAAATAAGGACAAACCATGAAGAGTTTCTGCCTTAAGGAGTTTATTCATTGGTAGGGGCAATAAGACACGGGCACAATGATAAAAGACAAAAGGTGACAAGGTGATAAACACTCCTGGAGAAGTACAGGTTACGTGCTGAGGGGTCCTAGAGAAGAGACAGGTTTACTCACAGCTTGCAGGATTAAAAAACGTTTCATAGAGGAGGTGGCACGTAGGGTGGCCTTTGAAAGATAAGCAGGATTTGGGGGTGGAGAAATTAGGGATGGAGGTGGGAAGGCAGAGAAGAGAGAAAGGCCTTCTAGCTAGTATTTATCAAAATGTGACCTGAGGACAGCCTGTATTAGAATCTGAGGAAGCTGCATTTGAGATAGGTCTTCAAGAACTGGCAGGACTTCCACAGGAAGGGATGAAGGAAAAGGATTTTCTAGAAAGAGGCACCATTCTCTCCTCTTAACCTGTACATGTGCAATTGTTACTTGGGCAGCCATGTTGTCTCCTTTTCCTCCCAGTTCCTTATCATAAAATATCTACCACTCATTTACCTTAAACTTGGTTGCCATATGGTTGGAATTAGATGCTTTGACCGATCAGAGACTGAAATGGGTTACTCTTCTATTGGTTTGCTAAGGTTTCAGACTTTTAATAGGTTCAATTTAAGTGCAATAAACTCAGATGTAAAACCATCATTCTGGGTTGTCCCCAGTCATCTATATGGTCTTAGGAATGGTTTCTCAAAGTAGTGGCCCATAGACTACCATTCTGCATCAGAATAAGCGATGGGGGTCTGTTAAAATGCAGATTCCTGGGCCCCACCCCAAAGCTACTAAATCAGACTCTCTGCAGGCGTGGTCCAGGGATCTGGATTTTAACAAGTTCTTTAGGTGATACTGAAGTATACTAAAGTCTGAGAAACACTGAGAGGGAGTAGAGAGAGAAAAGGTACAAAGGTGGAGAGCACAGGAACAATGTATTCAGCCTACAAAGGTAAATGGAGGCTAGACCATGGAAGGCCGTCACTGTTAGAGTCGAGGTTGACATGTGCTCTAGTGGCAACAGGGAGCCATCCCTTCCAGTGCAGAGTGTTGTGGTTAAGAGCCTGAAGTCTGGAGCCAGGATGGCAGGATTTAAACCTTAGTTCCTCAACTCACTAGCTACCTTACCTTGGACAGGATTCTTAACCTCACTCTGCCTCAGTTTCCTCATTTATAACATGGGGATAATAATAGTACTCACCACACAGGGTTGTCATGAGATTAAATGAGTTCATATCTGTAAAATGCCTAGAACTGGGACTGGCATCTAGTAAGTATGATATGTTAGCATAAAGACTTTTAAATAGGGGTGTAGCAAAGTTAAGCCTATCTTTTTGGAAGAGTAAGATGGCAGTAATGTATAAAAATTACCTACCTGTCCTCCATCAGCAAGTCCTATAATTTTTTTACTCTAACTCAGTGCTCAGTGGTTCCCAACTTTGGCTGCACATTGAAATCACCTCTTCCTCCTTGTCTGGTAAACATCTACCAAGGTAATTCCAATATGCACCATGATTGAGAACTAATGCTCTAAATATATTTCAAATTTGTCCACTTTTCATTATTGAGTCCTTACTATATGTAAGGCATTGTACTAGGTCCTTTTCTCATTTAAATCTCACAACCATTTTGGAGGCAGCAGCTAACATTATCCTCACTTTAAAGAATATTAGAATGGTTGAGTAAGGCCATCCAGCCAGAAGGCAGGAGGGCTGGGATTAGAAACGAGGCAGTTTGGCACCAAGGGCTCCACTCTGAACTACTACTCTGCAGTGTGTCCCCAGCTCAAGCAACTGCCCTCCCACACTGGAAAGGTTACTACATCAACCATCTTCCTGATCTCTCCACTTGCATTACTGCATCCCTCTAGTCTAGTCTGGACACAATAGCCAGTGAGCTCTTTTAATACATCAATTGGATCATGTCATGTTCTTGCTCACACCCTTCCAATGGCTTCTCAATGCACTAAAAACTGAAACCCAAACTCTTTTGCATGACCTTCAATGCCTTCATGGTCTAACTCCTGCTCACCTCTCCAGTCTCATCTCGTGCCAGTTTCAACCACGATCACTGTATTTCAGCCACACTGGTCCTTAGGCTCCTTGAATGCTCTAAGCTCTTCCCTGCCTGGGGCCTTCAAACTTTCTTTTCTTTCTGCCTAGAATACATATTCTTTTGCAGGTTCTCTTCATGGATAGCACCTTTTCATCTCTCAGATCTGAGCTTAAACGTCACCTCCTCAGAGAGGCCTTCCTGACTACTCAACCTAAATATTTTCTGCATAGTACTTACATTGTTTGTATTTCAACATATGTTTACTTATTTGTTTATTATTTGTCTTTTCTCATAGAATGTGAGTTCCATAAGAGCAAATCACATATCTTTGCTGCTACGTATGACATATATGGTTGTGCAGGCTGTGTACTACATGAGGATGCCACAGCTAAAGGATTTCTGAAAATTCTCAAGGATTTTCTGGAAAATGGCAATGAAGTATCTTAAGTAAGGACATCCTTTTCGTAATTCACATAAACATGGCATATGGCCTAACAGTGTCCTAGATGTCTACTATATTGACCAATATATATGCCACTTCTAACACAATGCTGAGCATACAGTAGATGCTCAACGAATATGTTGATTGGATGAAAGGAAAGAAGATAATATCAGAATACTGCCAGTGGGAAAGTACGAAAAGGGAGAGATACAGAACACTGCTGACAGATTTGGCAATTTGATAAGAGGCAATGAAGGAGGAATTAAAGGTGATTAAGTCTGATCCTAGAAAACTAGAGGGGGAAAAAAAAGGTGCTATTATAAAAAAAAAAAAAAAAAGAATCCAAAGAAGAAGACTGTTCTGAGAAGATGGTGATCCCATTTTGGATATAATTTGAGAAGATGATGCCCTCTGTTTTGCTTTATTGAGTCTGTCACCATTTTATTGTGGGATTTAAAAAATATACCTAAATTTGCCCCGCACAGTCTTCAAAATGGTCACATTAAAGCTTTGCAAGGTCCACTCTTCCTTTTAAGGGTATGAAAGAAGATGGTCTGTGTTTTATGATATAATAATTTAGGGGCCAAGCTGGAAGGGATTAAGGAAGGAGAGATAAAGATATTCACTTTCACATTAGATGACTTCTACCCATCCTCCCCTGCCAAAATCCAGCACAGTTTCTTTTAAGCTGCGGCCCTTAAAATCAATGCTTTTATTTTTATTTTTCCTTCTGTGAATGAAAGTGTCTTTAAAAACTAAGGCTACTGTAAAAAAAAAAAAACTCCTTTCTCTAGGACACTGAACAGGTATTTTTCTCTTTTCTAAGTTCTGTTACACTCAGGATGGCAGCACCCCAGGTCTTGAGATTTGGGATACCTACCTCTGCACACCCGGCAGCAGGAATCCGGAACAGAGACTGGGAATGCACAGGTTAACTTGGGGCAAGTCTTGAGACCACAGTACACATTCCCCTCCTGCAGAGGAGAAATAGAATTAAGATCAGAAGGATTGGGGTAAGTATAAAGGCTTCGCTCAGTACCTGGGAGAGAGTACGGGCTCAAAAGATGGTACGTCCTTCCCTACTACTCTCCCATAGTCAGTTCTACGTGCTGCCTACATTTTATTATGCATTATTTTTTTTTCTATTCACTATTCCTCCATGCCAGAGACTAAGGCACGGAAAAGATAGCAATCGTAGTCAGGCATCTTGGTCTAAGGTGGTACAAAGTGTCTGTGAGGCTTCCATGAGCCTCCAAATCACCAAATATAGTCTGGTTCCTCTCTTCCCTGTTCACTGTATCCCTTGGTCCCCATCACGCTCCAGCTGGATGTTGAGGGTTTAAAGGAATGAGGATTTGTGTGATAGCCACCATCTGTAACATTCACTAGGGTCTCCCTTCCAAACCAAAGAGACAAGCTCTCTGAGGGTAATATGAAACTATATAAGATGATCTGCATTCCACAGCAGTCCAGCAAAAGGCAAGGAAGAAGATCACATTTACTTGCTGGTTACATCTGTCTTTCCAATAATCTTCATTTCCTAAAACACTATCTTTCAAATGTTATTCCTTAAAGTTTATTCTTACTTCTTAGAAGTATATTCTTCTGGGGCTAAAAGGGTACCTGAAAGGTCATTAGGAAAGCAAGGCCACAGTCAAATTCTCCCAAACTGCTGATACTATATTTTTACTAAAAATCCCAAAGGGAAAAGATTTTATAATTTCCCTTGGCAATCAGTGTTTAATGTCCCTTATAGGCAGAAAAGTTGTTTCTACATCTAATTTCATTCCTTTATGCTTCAGTTTAAGCATCCATTTTACTTCATTTTCTAGTTCTATCTATTCTCTAGAATCCACAATTAGCTAAAGATATCATTGGTGTACGTTATTCATGAAGTAAGCACAGTTCTTTTGACAGGTAATGTCCCAGGAATCATCATGATCAAGCATTTACAGAGAGTTTTCTCACTGCAGGGCACTAAGAATTAACTGGCTAGTAGAATACTTCAGAGATGGAAACCAACAGATACCCCATTTTCTTGTGAATTGGATTGAGTGGCCCTTGATGGTGACAGTGATTTTCCACCTACAGCATTCCCAGGGCTTCAATTAATTGTGAGGTCTTCAGATGAAGGCTTTGTGGTGTATCTATAATGAAAAGGAGTGCAGATCAAGACGAACAGCTCATCTTTGTCCATTTCAGCAGTCCTATAGCTTTAAGACTGGAACTGGGTCTGAGCTCTTCAACAGAGTTGTCCAGGGTTGGTGAAGATTAAGGAGTTTGGATTGGCAGGGAGGCTTATGATTTAAATGCAACTCATCTTTCATTCAAACACCTTACAGTGTAGGTGCAAGCAAAAAGTACAAGTACAAAGGAAATTCTCGTATTTGGGTAGGGGCTAGCAGGGTCTTACCGAACAGCTGCACTGGGTGCATTGGTTGGGTTGCCGGTTCTGAAAGAGCCCTTCAGCCACGAACAGCTCTCCATGTTGGTAAGTGGTCCCATTGTACTCACACGACTTGCTGGTCACCTTATTGTTCACTGGGGGTAAGGAGTCTTCTGGAACAGAGTGGAGAAAAACCACATTGAGTACTGGCATCATTGCAAAGAATTTCATAAATCTCAACAGCAGATGGGGCTGTACTACATAGAGGGAGGAAAAGACAGTCCCTGCTTCGGTGGCTAATGATTTTAGATAATATTAAAGTAGCCCGACAAGAACAGCAGGTGGTATTCCCATCCATTCATTTTTTCGTGTGTTGAGCATTTTTTGAGCACCTACTATGTGCCAAGCATTGTAATGAGCATTAGAGAGAGATCAGAGAACACAGACAAGACTCCTGCCTAGATGGAGCTAATAGTCCTAAATGAATAAAATATTAATTTGCCTGAAAGGAGAGAGTCCACACTACTTCCATTTAATCTTTTCCCCCTGTTGCTTCAGAAGAGGAACCATCTATTATAACTAGCCTAGTAACTTTATCCCTTCCCACATTGTATATCATCTATTGTGTGTTGTATGCTTGTTCCAGCCTCTGCAGTTTTTGCTTATTTTTAATCCCTCCACCAAGATTGCCTGCTCCCTCTCACTCTTTCCCGCTAATTGAAGTTCTATCAGATTTTGAAGATTCAACTCACGTCCACACTTTCCACCATGAAGCATTCCCTAATAATTCCAGCCCACGATCTGGACTTCTCAAAGCATCTGATGTCTGAAGTACACAATTTGGCACTTGAATATTATTACAACTCATAGTTATGAATTATAGCAACCTACTAAGCCATTTACATAGAGATTTCGTGTATATTATTACAATGGAGCCTCATAACAACCCTGTGAATCAAGTAGGGTAGATTCTTACCTTCATTTTTCATTTGAGGGAAACAAGTCGCTGAGGTTAAAGCTAGCGGAGTAGTGAAATGGGAATAAAAATCAATAATAGATATAAGCAGAACCTGGAAAGTGCCTGACGTGAGATACTGGAAGAAGAGAAATTAGGGGAGTCGTATTCATTTGGGAGAGGCTTAAAAAGTTGGACCACCCTTTCTTTCCATCAGTAAAAACTATAATGAAAATGAGTCCATTTTATGCTAAGTTATGTCTCAATACAATTATTTAAATAAACAGAATGAAATTATTCTAAGAATGTAGTGAAAATGATAAAGGCTAATAATAATACCCATAGTAAAAGTAAATTAACAATAGACAACATTCGTTGAGTCCTAACTATATGCCAGGCACAATGGTGAGTGCTTTTACATACATCATCTCATTGGTTCTTACTAATAACATTGTGACGTAGACATTATGCTTATGCTCATTATGCAAATGAAGAAACTAAGGCTTAAGAAATTAACTGATTCACCCAAAGCCACACAACTTGTAAGTGGCAGCACCGGAATATAAGTTGAGGTCTGACTTCTTCTATAATCTTCCCTCCTAGCCACTATTAAAAAGAGTGTCAGTCATTTCAAACCTATAACAAGGAAGGCACCATTTAAAACCCAAACCCATACCAATGGAACATGAAGGTTGTGTTGTCCCTCTAGAATGTGTGGCCTAAAATACTCAGAACATAGACATTGCATTTTCTTTGGCTTCAATGATTTGGGTAACTAGCTCAATTCCATACTTAGCTATATAAGTTGATCTAGCCTCTGAGTAACTCAACTCCTTGGGCATTAACTACCGACTAATGACCTCTTACAGAATATTAAAAAATTTCCTTAATTTTGCCTTAAAAAGAAGAAGACTTAGCTCCTCGAAAGAGTTTAACTCATACTAATTGACTCTCTGTCTGGGCTAAGAGGCCCTGCCCCTGCTCACAAGTGTACACAACCAGACAGCTGCAGCTGGCAGACATGAGTAAAACCCATCAGAAAAAGGACAGAAGCAGGGCCATTTGCCCCCTGGGCTCTAATTATTCCAAATCTCAGCATTTTGTGGTGAAGGAAAACTATAGTCACCTACAAAATAATATTTGCCATGGCTCTTACAGAAGCTGGCAGATCTTTGGAACACCAAAAAAAAAAAAAAAATTGGAATCATTTCGCTTCAAAGGAATGTGGATTGATTTTTGACCCAGGCCTTCCACCAAGAGATCAACAGCAAGGCAACTGCAGGGTGAGATTTTCCAGTGGAAGCAAGATCTTGAGAATCTGCCTTGCAAAAGTCTTCTGAGTAACCTGGCACTGGAGTCTATTATTCTACTCAACAGGAGATGGGGTGAAAGGGAAAGAAAGGAAGACACAACAGAATCAAAGAAAAAGAAACCAATTATAGTCATGCATAAGACTAGTTTTATGCAATAAAATTATCTTAATATCTTCTCATTTATTCTTATTTAATTCTTCTAACATCCTTAATGGTGTGTGGGGGTGGGGAATTATGAGAATGAGGCTACTAGTACCCCAAAAGATTTGAGTCCTTTCACACAGCTGTTTCATCGGAGAGCCAACTCAGAAATATAGTTTACCTGCCTTCAAATCTGTGCTCTTTTCACAGATGGGTGGGTGATAAAACTTCGAGGCACTCATTATGTATGTATATACCCATCCCCTCCTCCCCCCTCCCATAATGAGTGTGATGCGCACCATCCGGGAGACGGACATGCTTGAAGCTCTGACTCAGGGGGGAAGGGGGGGCAAGGGCAACATATGTGACCTAAACATTTGTACCCCCATAATATGCTGAAATTAAAAATAAATAAATAAATAAGAAAAACAAAACAAAACAAAAAAAAAAACTTCGAGGCAGAATTCCTGAGTCATAATCCCAACTCAGGTACTGACATCCCATAATCTTGCACAAGGCACTTTACCTCTTTGGGCCTCAATTTTTCTGTCTAAGAATGGGATGTGAGACACAAATCTCCCCTTGCATCTTTAGAGAGCCAACACAGCATGCTTCCCAACCACAGAAGTAAGAAAAGCCACCTCATATTCTACTCTCTCCCTTCCCAGATTTTCCAAGGTGGCTAGGCTTCTAACCAACTATCCTTGGAATACATTCAGTATTCCTGACTGAAAACTGGCAGAAAATCAGTCCAAAGCAAAGCTGGCTCCAGGGCCCCTTAGACTACAACAGGAATGACCAGGCTGCATGGCTTCTAGCCACCCCTATCTCTCCGATTTCCAGTCAAATTACCATACGACACCACGAGAAGTGGAGGAAGGACATTGTCGGGTAAGCAGACAAGCACTAAGCCATATGACTACTGATATGTTGGGAAAGAATGGTTTCTTCTTCCCAGGTGAAGGATGGTGTTATACGTAGGCAGAACTATGATTTCTGGGGTGCTCAGAAAACACCCCATTATCCTAAATATCTCTTACCATGTTTTCTCTCACTGATGCCTAAGATGCCACCATTAGAGTCCTTTCCTTTGGGTTCAATAATTGCCCTTTTGCAATCAGATTTTGCAATCCCAAGATTTCTGCAAGAGGGTACATGTTGTCACTAACATTTCAGTGTGAATAACTTTGTCACAGGCTTTTTTTCTTGCCTTCAGAACAAGTGGCAAATTTTACCAAGTATGTGGTCCTACCCAACTTCTTCTGGTATACCTTATCTCCTCTCCTGGCACTACCCTTCTTCCCACTCGCTAGAACCTAGTCCTCATACTGGTTGCTGTCTTCCCCACTCTCTCCACCTTCAAACTTTCATTTTCTTAGTGGGGAAGTTCTTAGCTAGTCATAAGGGCAGCTTGTATGTCAGGAGACAAATCAGTCATCCCTTCTTTTGACATTGCTGCTGTTATTCTTGTTCCTACTTCACTTTTAATGGCTGAGACTGATTCTAATGTTTCTTTGGTTCTCTGTCATTCTACTGGTATAGTCCCAACATATTTGCAGGTCATTTAGGGGCAAGGGATGGAGGGAGGATATGGAGATGAAAGTAAAGGCTAGAGAGAGGAGATTATTTTCTCTTTAATTGCCCGTGAGACAGAGAGTGACTCACATGCATCCAACAAAGTAGAACTGTATAGTCCAAAGGACTCTATCCCAGGTCTCAAAAATACAAGGGAAGAGAGAATGACAAGGGGGCTAGGAAAGGAACCCCTGGAATAGGGTGTTATTTGCACATAGTGTTTTTCAGCTCTGCATCTCATAGCAATACAAGAGAAAATAATTGAGCCTAGTCTCTGGTGTTGGCAAACATTGGTCTGTGGGGTCCCAGCTACTATGGTATGAATGTTTGTGTCCCATCAAAATTCATAAATTGAAATCGTAATCCCCAAGGTGACGGTATTATGAGATGGGGCTTTTAGGAGATGATTATATCATGAGGGCAGCACCCTCATGAATGGGATTAGTGCACTTATTAGAAGAGGCCTAAAGGAGCTTGTTTGCCCCTTCTACCATGTGAGAACACAGAAAGAAGGCATCATCTATGAATTAGAAAGCAGGCCCTCACCAGAGAGCAAATCTGCTGGTACCTTGATATTGGACTTCCTAGCCTCCAGACTATGAGAAATAAATTTCTGTTGTTTATAAGCTACCCAGTTTATGGTATTTTGTTATAGCAGCCCAAACACATTAGGACACCAGCTTTGGCACATCTTTGATTTGTGGTCTTAGGAAGAAGGCTACTTAATCTCTTTGCACCTTGGTTTCCTCATCTTCAAAATGAGTATGTCATCTACCTTACATGGCTGTGGGATTTAGAGATAATTTATTTTAAAAAGCCCAAAGTATCATGTACATAACAACATTCACAATAAATGGTAGATGATGCTGGTCTAGAAAGATGGCATAGAGAAGAAAGCAATGGAAGGGATTTTCCTAATTTCCATGAAGGACAACTATTTAAAAGGCATTTGCTTTGCATTTATGTGTATAATAGGTGCTAGGGGACATGAGTTAAGACTCTGTTTCCTTCTTCATTCAACAAGTACTTATGGAGATCTTTGACTATACCTGGCACTAATAGGTCCTTGACTATACCTTGACAATACCTGGCACTATGCTAGGTTAAAGCCGCAAAGGCAAACAAGACATTTCCCTGACTTTAAGGAGAATCCTGCTTTCATTGTAGGGGTAGGCACAAAAAGGTGTTA